GTTTTTTTTTTTTTTTTTGTTTTGTTGTTGTTGTTGTGATTTCTTCTTTTTTTGGCTCTGTGGTTGTTTGCTTCTTTGTTTCATTTTTTTTTTTTATCTTGCTTTTTCCCTTTTTTTTCCTCACAGGTGGCCGCCCAGATACTGTATTATTCGAGAAGAAATAATAACAACTGGATTATGAACGCAGGTAAGGCATGTAATAGTTCTACATAATCTCTTATTATTATTATTATTATTATTATTATTATTATTATTATTATTATTATTATTATTATTATTATTATTATTATTATTATTTATTTTTTTTTTATTTGGTTTATGTTTGTGTTTGTCGCTTGTTTTACTTCCCATTTCATTCACTGAATACACAATAAATGTTTTCTTTTTCTTTCTTCTTTCTTTTTGTTTTTGGACTGTTACGAATAATCCACGTTAGATTTTAGTAGCAAGAGGACTCCGCTGGTGTGTTAGTGTGTTTGTGTGTGTGTGTTCTGTTGCCACTATAATAGGGAAGCACAGACAATCTGCTTTGAAATAAAGGAGAAACCAAACAACAACAACAACAACAACAACAACAACAAAAAGACACCACCGCACCGTCGGTGAAGGAATTAAACAGTTCTTTATTGCACACGGGAAGAGTAAACAGAAAGGGAAGAAGAAAGAAAGAGAAGGACTAACAACAGCCGTGAAAGAAGAAAAAAAAGAGAACGTTAGTCTAGTCAGCAGAAAACATTTCTTTACTCATTCGCACGTGTGTGTGTGTGCTCTGATCTTACAGAAAAAGAAGTATTCAGAAGGGAAAAAAAAGAAGAACGGCAAAGAGAGGACCGAGAGGAGAAGAAGAAAATAAAGTAAGTAGTGGGGTATATATAATAATATTACACGAAAAAAAAACAAAAAAAAAGAGAAGAGTAAATAAACATTAATAAGGAAGAGGAGCACCGAAAATAATTTGTTCGTATATATATATACATATATAGTTATATATATATATATACATTTATATTATATATATTTACATAGCAAGGAAAGAGAGAGAAAAAGAAGAAAAAAGGAAAAAAAAAAAGAAACAAACAAAGATACTCATACACACGAGGCACATAATCACGTAAAAAAAAAAAGGACGATAAAGGAAAAGTAAAGAGGATTCTCTAGCTTTCATCATGTCTTTAGATGTGGATGCCATTATTGATAAATTGTTGGAAGCTCGTGTCTCAAAGCCAGGCAAGCAAGTCAATCTAGCAGAAAATGATGTGAGGAATCTTGCCATGAGAAGTCGTGAGATTCTCCTCGCGCAGCCCGCACTATTGGAGCTAGAAGCCCCCATTAAAATATGTGGGGATATCCACGGTCAGTATTACGATCTCATCCGGCTATTTGAAAACGGAGGATTTCCTCCTACTGCTAATTATCTATTTCTTGGAGATTACGTAGACCGTGGGAAACAGGGATTGGAAACTATTTGTCTTGTGCTTGCCTTTAAGGTGAAGTTCCCTGAAAACTTCTTTGTACTCCGAGGTAACCATGAATGTGCGAGCATTAACCGCATTTACGGCTTTTTTGATGAATGCAAGCGACGCTACAACATTCGTCTTTGGAAAGCCTTCACGGACACATTTAATTGTCTCCCTGTTGCTTGTATTATTGATGATAAGATCTTCTGCTGCCACGGTGGTCTTTCCCCTGAACTTCAAACAATGGATCAAATAAAGAAGATTGGACGACCATGTGATGTTGCTGACACAGGCCTCATTTGCGATTTATTGTGGTCAGACCCTGAAGAGGGCCTTTCCGGCTGGGGTGAGAATGATCGAGGCGTCTCCTTTACGTTCGGTCAAGATATCGTAGAAAAATTTCTTCGGAAGCACGAATTTGATCTCATTGTTCGTGCTCATCAAGTAGTGGAAGACGGGTATCAATTTTTCGCGAAAAGACAATTAATAACAATATTTTCAGCACCAAATTACTGTAATGAGTTTGATAACAGTGGTGCAGTGATGTCAGTGGACGCAGACCTGCTTTGTTCATTCCAGATTCTCAAACCAGCGGTGAAGAAACCGAAGTTTTACCAATAGAAAGAATGAGAGAGAGAGATAAAGAGAGTGGATGTGTACTAAGAAAGGGATTGAGAAAGAGGCTGTAAGGAAACAGAGGAAGTGAACGTTAACGTGAAGGGGCGTAAGAGATGTTGAGAATGATCACGTGTACAAGAACGTGAGAAATGAGATGGGCTGAGAAAGCGAAGAAAAAAACAAAAACAAACAAAAAACAAAAAAAAAAAAAAAGAATACATATGGAATTCGAGAAGAATTGGCGTCAAGAGAAAATGGAAAGAAAGAAAGAGAGAGGACGAAAAGATTCATCTCATGACTTATTTGCACGTAGTGTTTGGCAAAGGAAAGATATGAAAAGTCTTTGGGAGAAAACAAAATAGAGAGCGAGGGTGGCGTGAAAGGAGGTGGGAACAGAGAAAGAGAGTGAAAGGGAAGTTGTAGTATATGGCTAAACGATGATTGATAGTGGAAAAAGACTGTTGTACGGAAAGAAAAAAAAAATAAACAGAGAAAGAAAGCCACCGAAAAGGACCAGATAAATAAATAAATA